GTCGCATATATACTGTGTATAGAGTACGTGTAACAGATATACAGTGTATAGGGTACGTCACATATAAAAAGTGTATAGGGGACATGTAACATATATACAGTGTACAGGGTACGTGTAACATATATACAGAGTATAGGGTACGTGTAACATACAACGGTGTATAGGGTATGTGTAACATACATACAGTGTATAGGGTACGTGCTGTATATATACAGTGTATAGTATACGTGTAACATATATACAGTCTATAGGGTACGTGTAACATACATCAGTGTATAGGGTACATGTAACATTTATACAGTGTATAGGGTACGTCACATATAAAAAGTGTATAGGGTACGTGTAACATATATAAATCGTATAGGGTATATGTCACAAATATACTGTGTATAGGGTATATGTCACATATATACAGTGAATAGTGTACGTATTACATCTATACAGTGAATAGGGTACGTGTAACATATATACTGTGTATAGGGTACGTGTAACATATATACAGTGTATAGGGTACGTATAACATATATACAGTGTATAGGGTACGTATAACATATATACAGTGTATAGGGTACGTGTAGCATATAAACTGTGTATACGGTACATGTAACATATAAAAAGTGTATAGGGTACGTGTAACATATATACAGTGTATAGGGTACGTGTAGCATCTATATATAGTGTATAGTGTACGTGTAAAATATATACATTGAATAGGGTACATTTCACATATATATTGTGTAAAGGGTACGTGTAACATATATACAGTGTATAGGGTACGTGTAACATATATACAGTGTATAGGGTACGTGTAGTATATATACAGTGTATAGGGTATGTGTAACATATATACAGTGTATAGAGTACGTGTAACATATATACAGTGTATAGGGTACATGTCACATATATACAGTGTATAGAGTACGTGTAACATATATACAGTGTATAGGGTACGTGTAATATATATACAGTGTATAGGGTACGTGTAACATATATACAGTGTATAGAGTACGTGTAACATATATACAATTAATAGGGAACGTGTAACATATATACAATCTATAGGGTACGTGTAACATATATACAATCTATAGGGTACGTGTAACAATATATAAAGTGTATAGGGTACATGTAAAATATATACAGTGTATAGGGTACGTGTAACATATATACAGTGTATAGAGTACGTGTAACAATATATAAAGGGTATAGGGTACATGTAAAATATATACAGTACGTGTAACATATATATATACAGTGGATAGGGTATGTGTAACATATATACAATGTATAGGGTACGTGTAACATATATACAGTGTATAGGGTACGTGTAAAATATATACAGTGTATAGGGTACGTGTCGCATATAAAAAGTGTATAGGGTACATGTAACATATATACAGTGTATAGGGCAGTGTTGTATATATACAGTGTATAGTATACGGATAACATATATACAGTGTATAGGGTAAATGTAACATATATACAATGTATAGGGTACGTGAAACATATATATGTAGTGTATAGGGTACGTGTAACATATATACAATCTATAGGGTACGAATAACATACATACAGTGTATAGGGTACGTGTAACATATAAAAAGTGTATAGGGTACGTGTAACATACAACAGTTTACACGTACCCTATAAACTGTTGTATGTTAGACGTACCCTATACACAGTATAGATGTTACACGTACCCTATAAGCTTTTGTATGTTACACGTTCCCTATACACTTTTTATATGTTACATGTACCGTATACACAGTTTATATGCTACACGTACCCTATACACTGTATATATTTTACACGTACCCTATACACTGTATATATTTTACACGTACCCTATACACTGTATGTATGTTATACGTACCCTATAGATTGTATATATGTTACACGTACCCTTTACACTGTATATATGTTACACTTACCCTATAATCTGTTGTATGTTACACGTACCTTATACTGTGTATAAGGTACGTGTGACATACAACAGTTTATAGGGTAAGGGTAACATATATACTGTGTATAAGGTAGGTGTAACATACAACAGTTTATAGGGTAAGTGTAACATATATACTGTGTATAAGGTACGTGTAACATACAACAGTTTATAGGGTACGTGTAAAATCTATACTGTGTATAGGGTACGTGTAACATCTATACTGTGTATAGGGTACGTGTAACTTGTATACAGTGTATGGTGTATGTGTGACATATACAATGTACCAGTACATGGTACGTGTCACATATATACAGTGTCAAATATAAATGTAAAACATGTATACTGAATAGGAAAAGTGTAACATACACACACTCAATAAAGTCATTATAACATATAAAGATTGCTGAGGGTAAGTGTAAAGTGAACCCATATTCGAATGTCAGTTTTTCCGGTATAAAAAGGGTCGTTCTGGTCACTGACGACACCAGTCCTGTAAATCTTAGTCACAACCAAGTGATGTCACGTCCTCAAATAGAGAACTCGGGTAGTGACAAAAAAACCACAAGGCAGTCCTTTGAGCTTAAACAAATACATCAACCTTCATATTACACAAAAAAACAGCATATTTCTCAGCGAGCTCCTGAGGGCGACCAAAACGTGGTGGTCATCAACCTGCATCTCCGCAGTCGACGTCTATCACACGGAACTGATGAAGTAACATTTACACACTTTGAACACTTTAAAGACATTAATTAACAGTTTAATATATATACTGTGTTGTTACTGAAATCAAGCTGACATCTTTATACGCATAGGTTTTAATTACCTTTCAATGCTACTTTGTACTCCTATAGGACATTCACCACGGTTTGTCCACGTGCTACAGTCAAATTCCAACGACGATTGTATCGTAGTCAAATTCCAACGACGATCGTATCGTAGTCAAATTCCACCGATGATTGTATCGTAGTCGAACTCCAACGATCATTGTATCGTAGTCGAACTCCAACGATCATTGTATCCTAGTTGATCTCCAACGATCATTGTATCGTAGTCAATTTTCAACGATGATTGTATCGTAGGCAAATTCCAACGATCATTGCATCCTAGTCAAATTCCAACGATGGTTGTATCGTAGTCGATTTCCAACGATCATTGTATCCTAGTTGATCTCCAACGATCATTGTATCGAAGTCAAATTCCAACGATGACTGTATCGTAGTCGATCTCAAACGATCATTGTACCGTAGTCAAATTCCGACGATGATTGTATCGTAGTCGATCTCCAACGATGAGTGTATCGTAATCAAATTCCAACGATCATTGTATCGTAGTCAATTTTCAACGATGATTGTATCGTATCCGATCTCCAACGATCATTGTACCGGAGTCAAATTCCAACGACGATCGTATCGTAGTCAAATTCCACCGATGATTGTATCGTAGTCGATCTCGAACGATCATTGTATCGTAGTCAATCTCCAACGATGATTGTATCGTATCCGATCTCCAACGATCATTGTACCGTAGTCGAATTCCAACGATGATTGTATCTTAGTCAAATTCCAACGATGTTTGTATCCTAGACTATCTCCAACTACGGTCGGATCGTAGTCAAATTCCAACGCTGATTGTATCGTAGTCAAATACCAACGAAGATTGTATCGTAGTCAAATTCCACCGATGATTGTATCGTAGTCAATCTCCAACGATCATTGTAACGTAGTCAAATTCCAACGATGTTTGTATCCTAGACTATCTCCAACTACGGTCGGATCGTAGTCAAATTCCAACGACGACTGTATCGTAGTCAAATTCCTACGATGATTGTATCGTAGTCGATTTCCAACGATCATTGTATCCTAGTTGATCTCCAACGATCATTGTAACGTAGTCAAATTCCAACGATGTTTGTATCCTAGACTATCTCCAACTACGGTCGGATCGTAGTCAAATTCCAACGCTGATTGTATCGTAGTCAAATGCCAACGATGATTGTATCGTAGGCAAATTCCAACGATCATTGTACCGTAGTCAAATTCCAACGACAATTGTATCGTAGTCAAATTCCTACGATGATTGTATCGTAGTCACATTCCAACGATTATTGTATCGTAGTTAAATTCCAACAATGATTGTATCGTAGTCGATCTCGAACGATCATTGTATCGTAGTCAATCTCCAACGATCATTGTACCGGAGTCAAATTCCAACGATGACTGTATCGTAGTCAAAGTCCAACAATGATTGTATCGTAGTCAAATTCCAACGAGGATTGTATCGTAGTCAAATACCAACGAAGATTGTATCGTAGTCAAATACCAACGATGATTGTATCGTAGGCAAATTCCAACGATCATTGTACCGTTGTCAAATTCCAACGATGATAGGTTTTAATTACCTTTCAATGCTACTTTGTACTTCGATAGGACATTCACCCCGGTTTGTCCACGTGCTACAGTCAAATTCCAACGACGATTGTATTGTAGTCAAATTCCAACGATGATGGTATCTTAGTCAAATTCCAACGATGTTTGTATCGTAGTCGATTTCCAACGATGATTGTATCTTAGTCAAATTCCAACGATGACTGTATCGTAGTCGAACTCCAACGATGATTGTATCGGAGTCAAATTCCAACGACGATTGTATTGTAGTCAAATTCCAACGATGACTGTATCGTAGTCGATCTCCAACGATCATTGTACCGTAGTCAAATTCCAACGATGATTGTATCGTAGTCGATTTCCAACGAAGATTGTATCCTAGTCAATTTATATCACTTTTCCGTTCAAACTGTAAATGTGTTATCAGGTGGCGAGATTTATGTTTTTCATGTATTTTACTAACATTTGATCACAGGTAACTTTTTCAACTTTTTGTATTACGATAATATATTCATGTTGTTGGGGTTTTTTTAATTTCGATATATATCAGATGTATTTAAAAAGGATACGTTTATTTCCTGAACATTGTTGGCTTCTCTCGTTATTTCCAAAAAGCTATCAAACAACATACTGCTGACAATTATTGAATTATTTGCATGACTTTCCAGAAAGAACATACCACAGCTTTATTGGATGAACGTTATCACTAAGATTCTCCACCAAATATATCCTACATCCCGCAGTACTAGTCACGAGTTGATACGGTAGCCCGAACGTGGATGAGATGAACGATGAGGCACTACAAGAGACCCCCTGCTTAATGGAGCCAGGACAGCTGAATACAGAAACTGGCATTACGAAGCGGGACCAATGGGCAAGAAAAACGGAGTTCCTCATGTGTGCTATAAGTGGTGCTGTAGGTATTGGGAACATATGGAGGTTTCCGTATCTGTGCTACAAGAATGGTGGGGGTAAGATATATAAGTCTCTTCATCGTCGAAATATTTAACGGCCTATCCTCATTTATAAGATATTATATAGAAATAATTGAAAATTTTGAATATACACAGATTAGCTTGGAAATAATAATTAACTATTAATAACTGTAAATTATGTTTTACTGTTAATAATTGTAAATTATATGTTATTGTCAATCATTATTTCTAGAATTCATAGAATTTGTTTTATAAGTATGCGCGTTATTGATAATACGTTTTTTCTACTAATTTCTTGTGCATATATCCATTTGGTTTTGTATGTGGACTTATTTGTTGTGTAAGCTTGTAGCTAACTATTTGTTTGTCTATGTTATGTTACAGGTGCTTTCTTGGTACCTTACCTGGTGTTTCTAGTGTTGGTTGGATTACCGATGTATATATTGGAGATAGGCCTGGGACAATACATGCAAAAGGCTGGATTTGAATTATGGAACATTTGTCCTTTATTTAAAGGTAAACTGTCTATTTTAGCACACTGGTTGTTATTTTATTTTTCATGCACTGCGGAAATGACATTAATACGTGTGTTCATGGTATTGATTGAATTGCAACTAAATAGTAATGTGTGTAACGAGGTACCATGTCAACAGTAAGAAATTAATGCACATGCGTAGATCAATTAATCTATTTCGCTCACTCAGTCATTGCTGGACAAGGGGACCAGTCGGTCTTGAAGCGTTGCGACACGTTTCTTTTTGATATCTTTACCAGTCATTTCAATTTTTATTTCACTCGCGAAAATATAGCTTGAAATATGTTTTGTGGTATATAGATAAATAAATAAATATGCAACCTTTAATATAGCGCCCTATCTAGCTAACATAAGCCACTCTAACGCGCTTAACAATACATAGATATACAATTTTATACAGTCAATACAATTAGCAGTTATATTAATCAATACAATATTGAGGAATTCGCAGGAGCTGCCTTATCATGCGCTAACAAGTAGTCTTATTCCACCTGGCTAATATCTCCCTATGTATGCATGCCTGTGTATGTGCTGGAGATGTATTGTGTTCTGTTTGTAGTGAGACCGCACTTCCAACGGTATCATGTATAGTGCCACCTCACTTGAATGCTACAGCACATATACCGCAACACCCACCCAAGACCAATTTATACTCCACCTGGGTTGTTTGAGTTGTGTCGAAAATATAGCTTGAAATATGTTTTGTGGTATATGTGGCATGAATACGAACGTTTGTCTCTTTGTTGTTAAAATATTTGTTTGCCTATTTTCATATTTCAAAAGTCGATTTCTGGTCTGTTGGCTGACAACTCTAACTTAAAATTCTCTGCAGAATATATTCTCTGGTTACTCGTCGTTTTTGTTACAAACCTTGGCGTATCAGCTATGTATATGCTTTCTTTTGTTATAGGCCTTGTCGTATCAGCTATTTATATGCTTTCTTTTGTTATAGGCCTTGTCGTATCAGCTATGTATATGCTTTCTTTTGTTATAGGCCTTGGCGTATCAGCTATATTCATTATGTTCTTTGTGAACATTTTTTACGTAATGGTTCTGAATTGGAGTGCTTTTTACTTTGTCATGAGTCTGACGTCAGAGCTACCCTGGGCTACCTGCGATAATGAATGGAACACTCCGATGTACGTATCTTATTTATCGCAACTGAACAATTACATAAAAAGTATAATTAAAAGTAAATCTCGACTACCAACAGTCAGTTATATCTGTTATAACATACTAGATCACTCAGTTCGTGAGGTTATTGAGCAATACCGATCAATCTAATATACACTGTTTGCTATTTGCATGATTTGATAGAAATTTACTTTGCTATAGGTGTGTCACAGGAGCAAAAAGTAATTCCTCAAACACAAGCATAACAGTGGATTCCACAGTAGAGTTTTGGAGGTAAGGTGATCCAAACATTATAATATACGCTAAGCGGTAGATCATTCTCATCTCGGCAATAAAATGCCGATACGGGCAATTTATAATAAAGTATAAAAAATAAAAAAAATAAAAAATAAAATGAAAAAAAATCTAGATATTACTCTATCTGAATTAAGAAAGTTAACGGTGTGTTATTACAGATATGAAAAGTCTCCATGTAACGTATTCATTATTTTTTAATATTACGAAAGATGTTTGCAATTTGATTATTTCCAACGATGTAAACATAACACTTGTTGTAGACATCGGACCCTCCAGATGTCTGACAGTATCGAATCACCAGGCGGTATGGTCATGGAACTGGTCATGTGTTCCCTGGTCGTGTGGATAGTGTCGTATCTGTGTGTCTGCCGGGGAATCAAAGTCACGGGAAAGGTAAATATAGACAGTGGAAAATAATATACAAACAGAAGAAAGGTAGTTATAAACAGCACAAAAGTACATCAAGCACGCAATCCACCCGACAACCCAGCAATATTTAATAGAATATATCATGTAACCAAGAAGGTCAAATGCTTACCTAAACGTATAAAAGGACGATGTGTTTTCCAGAGCCCTAGGTCTAGTATTCAGATGTTTGCCCTTGTACGTATGTTGACACTGTTGTTATTGTTTTTATTTACCTCTTATGCGTTTATTTTATTGTAGGAACATATCAAACTGTTTACTCTTTTAGGTAATGTATGTGACCACACTCTTTCCCTACGTGATACTGACAATCCTCCTCATACGTGGAGTCACATTAGATGGAGCGAAAGAAGGCATCAGGTTTTACCTGGAACCGAATTTCACACATCTTCAAAATTATCAAGTAGGTTAATTTGGTCTCATAATCTTGCCATATTCGCTAGTTTTTGGGAACAAATGTCAAAGAGCTTATATTATTTTGAGAGTTGTAGTAAAAACTGTTGACTTACATCAGCTAAACAACGCAATACCTATGATCTATGTCTTCGAAGTCAATACAAGTATTATCGTACGTATGGTTGCCAGCAATTTGACACAAAAAATTGTCACCACTGTAAATACAATGATGAACATCTTTTCCTTACTTTACATGTTTATATTTTGAAATATGAAACTTAATGGGTGAATGCATGAAATATCAATTAGTTTGTACTGAGCGGAGTCAAGGTCAGATTTGTTTAGCACTTCCCATTTAGGGATAACATAACTACGTCCTTTATCTTTTCTCGGGTCGATAAATCCAGGTATCGACCTCAGCCAAAGACTATAATTGAATAATGTCTTCAATTGAAAACACTAGATATTAATACAACTTAAAGAATAGGTATGGTGAAAAAAATATCTATCAAAATTCGAGTAAGCACCTGTTAATCTTGACTGTTTTTTCTTATATGATAAGGTTTGGATTGACGCTGGGACACAGATATTCTTCTCACTAGGATTAACGCTTGGAGCATTGCAGATGATTGGTTCTTACAACAAAGTACATCATAACTTCTACAGGTCTGAATACTAATTATCACACTTGTTATACATAAATTCAGGGGCAGCGTCAAACACATTTCTGTAACTTGTCACTTAAAGTAGTGCCTAAAATATTATTAAAATATCACATGTATGTAACAACATTACAATACATGTTATGTGTTCAGGGACTGCTTCGTCATTGCCGCCATCAATAGTCTCACAAGTATATATGGAGGATTTGCAGTCTTTTCTATCCTTGGATTCATGGCAAAAAGTCAAGGATTACCGATTTCTGAAGTAGCTGATGCAGGTACTACTACTACTACATGTGTATATGATAAAGGGAAAACGTCCTATCTTTTCTTCACATCAATAATTATATCATATAGTTGCTGTATGTTGCTGGATATTTTACTGCATGGTCGTAACCATGCGTGTTCACTTTCGTAACAAAGTATATTATTATTTTACATCGACAAACAGTCCCCTATCGTGAATACAACCAAAGGTGGAGACATTTTCTAACGTTATTTGAATTGTATGGGGCTTTATATTAAATGACTAATTTATTACGAATCATATGGAATAGAAAATATGGATAATGATCAATTTCTTTCAAGTTCATGTAGTTTTAGATAATATAAATACAAAGCATGTTACTTTTCGACAAACTCTAGCTTACAACAATGGGACAGTCCCCTACACTAGGTAAATATGAATCAAACTGTTTTAGGAAGGACAGTTGGTAGAGGAGATCGATGTCCGGGGTGTTAACAGTGACCAAGTGTCATATTTATAACTTTAAACCAGCATCTTTCTTTACGTATTTTAGATACTAGATCTCATTATATATCAAGAGAAGTGAATGTGTTTACAAATGCTTGTGCTAATAATGTGTCGTTGATGTACTTCAGGCCCTGGTCTCGCTTTCATCACGTACCCTAAAGCTGTCACACAGATGCCGTTAGCTCCATTCTGGTCTGGTTTGTTCTTTTTGATGCTTTTCACAGTTGGCCTTGGCAGTCAAGTAAGTTATAATTGCACAACTATAACACGTGGTCGCATTGTACTCAAAGCTGCTTTATGTCTTACTTACATTATATATATATTCCTAAAACGAAAATTCGAATGTTCAATCAAATTTGCGGCCTTACAGTCAACGGATTTTTATTCCATTTTGGTGACGTTCTCGTTTACAATAGGGTCGCTTGTTTCTCCAGTGGGTTATCATTGAGATAAAAAAAAAATCGAAGAAAGACTATACTTTATGAGTAATTTCTATTTTGTTGTCAATTTGATGTAGCGCTGTATACGGCTTATCTAGGCCATTCTAAACCCAGTGAATGAATCACCGATGTCTCTGCAAACACCTTCTCTGTGGTGAGAGTGTCCAATATTTATACGTAAATTTTGTGTAGAACACCTTTCAGGCACTAAAAAGTTTTATCCAACAAGGTAACATGTATTGGCCGTGAAGAAAATGGAATTGATTTTTTTTTTAGATCATAAGTATATTGAAAGATTTTCCGGCTTTCTGTTTATTTTTTACTTGTAGCTTTCATTCAAGTAATGTACAAAAATGATCTTAAAGAAAAATTTCTTTTTCCGTTATGAAAACAAATTGTCATTTTCCTATTATTGCTAAAATAATGGTAAACATGTTCACAGATTGTCGGCATTGAGGCTGTTGTTACCCCTATAGTAGATCTCTACCCCCGGAGACTGAGGACAGTAAAAGGGAAGTTGATATTCTACGGCATGTTTTGTGTTGTTTCATTTCTATTGGGATTTGTCTTCCTAACTAAGGTAGGCTTTATATAGGATGTATCTTATCTACTTCTATTTTTCCTCCTAAGCAGAACAAATTTTGATTGTTGTTTTTAAATTTTAAAAAAAACACTTTTTTTTTAAAATTATTTTTCATCGCGAATTGGTCTAATTGATGTAGTTCTTTTCAGTAGACATGTAGAATTAAGCTTTTTAATCGTGAAACATCTGGTTTAAATAATTTGTGACTAAGAATTGTGAAAACGGTTTATGTTAAAGTACGTTTTTTCATTGTTTAGGGTGGAATATACGTGTTTAATCTCGTGGAATATTACGGCGCCAGTGGCATGCTGCTTGTGTGGCAACTGATGTGGGAGGCTATAGCGATAGGATGGGTAGTCGGTACGTTTATACTCACTAATTAACTATGTCGTATGTCATTCTGTCAACGTAAGATCTACTTCGATTATCTATCTAACAATATAACCAAGGGCCTTTTTCTGTGTTTGGTTTTCAGTGTGTTTCGTACTATAACCGTGTTGTAATTTAAGGCACATACCTCAGGGTTACGTTTTCAAAATGTTAACTCGGTCACTTTATGAAGGCTTTATTTTATAAACATACACATGCCCAGTACCACATTGTGTGTTTATACCTGTTGAAGGGGATGACTATTTCTACGATGCCATGGAGTACATGCTGGGCTACAGGGTCGGACCGTGGGCCAGAATTTCTTGGAAATACCTTACCCCAACCTTAAGTATAGTATGTGCCTATACAAACGCTATCTCTTATTTTCATGACATCCAAGTCTCCAGTATCTAGTATTTTTAGAATCAACTTATAACAATCCGATATTTGTATAGAACATTTGCAATCATGATTAATCATATTTCGATGGTTTTCTATAAGAATATCAGTTTCATTAACGCCACTACAACGCAACAAGGACGAAGAAAAATAACACACTTTATCAAGAACGCTATAATTCATTTTTGAAGTTGCAAAAAATAAATATAACTTATGAATTTACTGATTCGATGTGTACAAAGAGCTGGTCTTGACAACAAGCTAGTGTTACAGTTGTACAGTACCATTGAGGTAGAAATTACATGTATGATGTCGTCGAATATTATTAATCCTGAGAATTGATACTCAAATAAAATATGCTTGCTGCATTTTGACGATTACACTTGAAAATAAATCCATCGCTTGCTTATATATCATACGAAATCATCATCCGTTCGATGGATATATCTATTCATCATCTTTGGAATGTAAGAAATGGCACAGAACTGACTTAAAGCACTTAGGAACGTCAGTAACAGGTAACATAGAATTGACTCAGAATCCACTTATGATGTCAGAAACAGGTAACATAGAATTCACTCAAAAAACAACTAATGCATGTCAGTAACACGTGGCATAGAACTGACTCAAAAAACAACTAATGCATGTCAGTAACACGAAGCATAGAATTGACTCAAAAAACAACTTATGCATGTCAGTAACACGTAGCATAAAATTGACTCAAAAAACAACTAATGCATGTCAGTAACACGTAGCATAGAATTGACTCAAAAAACAACTAATGCATGTCAAATGAAGAAACAAATAGCTTGATTCAAACGACAGCTTCCTTGTTCATTTTAACATATACTGCGGCCATAACATATACTGCAGCCATAACATATACTGGGGCCATAACATATACTGGGGCCATAACATATACTGAGGCCATAACATACACTGCGGCCATAACATACACTGCGGCCATAACATATACTGGGGCCATAACATATACTGCGGCTATAACATATACTGCGGCCATAACATACACTGCGGCCATATAATGCGGTCATAACATATACTACAGCCATAACATACACTGCGGCCATAACATACACTGAGGCCATAACATATACTGCGGCCATAACATATACTGAGGCCATAACATACACTGCGGCCAAAACATACACTGCGGCCATAACATATACTGCGGCAATAACATATACTGGGGCCATAACATATACTGAGGCTATAACATACACTGCGGCCATAACATACACTGAGGCCATAACATATACTGCGGCCATAACATATACTGAGGCCATAACATACACTGCGGCAATAACATACACTGCGGCCATAACATATACTGCGGCCATACCATACACTGCGGCCATAACATATACTGAGGCCATAACATATACTACGGCCATAACATACACTGTGGCCATAACATATACTGCGGCCATAACATATACTGCAGCCATAACATATACTGGGGCCATAACATATACTGCGGCCATAACAAATACTGTATTTTGTATCCGGTGCTCTCTTTGCGAATGAAGATTAGATAATTATCTTATGTGGTGGTCTATATGTCACTAAAGTCTTTTGGGTTTTTTTCAATTATATTTTTCAATGTGAACTGTATTACAACATTTGGTATCATTATCAACCTTGTACATCTTGACATGACATGTTTCATGTAGAATATTGTCGTCCTACTAATCGTCTTCAAATCCAATGGTTGTACAGAAACAATGATAGCAACTGATTTTGTGTTTGTTCCTGGTTCATGTTTCAGGCTCTGCTAGTCCTTCAAGGACTTCATTTCAATTTGTTGTCTGGAGCTGAGGGCTATGAGTATCCGGTCGGAGCACATGCGTTTGGAATTATATTAGGCCTCGTACCCATAGTAATATTGATGATTGTTGCTATTTGGCAGATACTGCGTGCATCCGGATCCCTAGTACAGGTGTGTTTGTACATATATTTGGTAAAGTGTGTATTCATGTGTGTCTGTACAGATATACATGTATATTTACATTTGCATGACATTGTCACTATATAGCCTCTTTGAAAGCTGTGTCGTTGATGGGACTTTGATTACCATGCATCATGAGACACAATTCTTAGCGTATTAATACAACACTGACCGGAACTACAATATCCAATATAAATAAACATGACGGCTGCGGAAATAATGCTGGGCATTGTCAGATTTGACAATGTCATTGTAAATTTATGTGTAAAATAAAAAATAAATAAAAAACACTTTTATTACAACCAAAACAAGACCAAGGTCTGCAATATCGTACAAAATGCACATCGGTTGCCGGCAATGGAAACAATTTTAACGATTTATGCAATTTATCAGAAATATCGTCTGTTACACTGCACTGATCAACAGGGGTTCGTTACAAATGCCTGAAATACACATATTCTATAGACATACTGACACATATGTTACAGACCTACTGATATGAGTCACAGCACACATAATCCTTTCAGACATTTGTAACGAAACTGTGCTCCGTCGCAGTTTAACGCGTCTCATATACACGGATCCTCAGTTTCTGACGACATGTCAAATAACGAGGCTGTCATAGAATCTACCGACTGTTGTCAGGTTCCCATACAATCAACAAATAAATTCACGCCTGGATTCTTCACAAAATGAGCAAAGAGAAAAGTTCGAATTAACTTCCAAAAATAACTCCCTCGTGGAGGGCAAGGTCGGATTTACGGTGTTCACTATATTTGTCCATGCGCGAAATTTGTTCCGGGGAAAAATCGAAACAATTTCAAATCTAACTTTCCGCTAAGAGTTCTATTGATAAACTTAAATCACCCTAAAGACATATCATACGCAATTTTATATATACTGAATTGTGGAATAAAATTGAAGTGTTTGTTAAAATTTCAAAGTACTACTTTGTTTGCCAATCAGCACGAGACAATACGCTGTTGAACGAAATTGTGTGGACTGTCGATAAGGCGGGCATTTTAATTTTAAATATAAATTATAAGTTAAAAAAGAACATAAGAGGCAGAGAAAACGTATATGATATAGTGAGTATGCATGCGAGTATGTTTATGTATGTATATCTATATATATACATAAACATATTCGCCTGCATACTCACTATAACATATATATATAGATATACGTACATAAACATATTCGCCTGCATACTCACTATACTATATATATAGATACGCATGCATAAACATACCCACTATAACATATATATAGATATACATGCATCAACATACTCGCATGCATACTCTCTATAACATATATATAGATACGCATACAATAACATACTCACTATAACATATATAGATATACGCATACATAAACATACTCACACGCATACTCACTACAACATATATATAGATACGCATGCATAAACATACCCACTATAACATATATATAGATACGCATACAATAACATACTCACTATAACATATAATACATAGATATACATACATAAACATATTCGCCTGCATACTCACTATATATATATTATAGTGAGTATGCAGGCGTATATGTTTATGTATGTATATCTATGTATTATATGTTATAGTGAGTATGCGTGCGAGTATGTTTATGTATGCGTATCTCTATATATATGTTATAGTGAGAATGTTAATGTATGCGTATCTATATAAATGTTATAGTGAGTATGCATGGGAGTATGTTTATGTATGCGTATCTATATATATGTTGTAGTGAGTATGCGTGTGAGTATGTTTATGTATGCGTCTCTATATATATATGTTATAGTGAGTATGTTTATACCGGTGTGTCTGTACAGATATACATGTATATATGTTATAGTGAGTATGTTTATACCGGTGTGTCTGTACAGATATACATGTATATATGTTATAGTGAGTATGCGTGTGAGTATTTTTATGTATGCGTATCTATATATATGTAATAGTGAGTATGTTTATGTATGTGTATCTATATATATATTATAGTGAGAATGCAGGCGAGTATGTTTATGTATGTAAATCTATATATATGTTATAGTGAGTATGCGTGCGAGTATGTTTATGTATGCGTATCTCTATATATATGTTATAGTGAGAATGCATGCGAGCATGTTTATGCATGTATATCTATATATATGTTAAAGTGAGTATGCATTATATGTTATAGTGAGTATGCGTGCGAGTATGTTTATGTATGCGTATATCTATATATGTTATAGTGAGTATGCATGCTTGTATGTTAATGTATGCGTATCTATATAAATGTTATAGTGAGTATGCATGGGAGTATGTTTATGTATGCGTATATCTATATATGTTATAGTGAGTATGTTTATACCGGTGTGTCTGTACAGATATACATGTATATATGTTATAGTGAGTATGCATGCGAGAATGTTTATGTATGTATATCTATGTATTATATGTTATAGTGAGTATGCATGGGAGTATGTTTATGTATGCGTATATCTATATATGTTATAGTGAGTATGTTTATGTATGCGTATCTATATATATATTATAGTGAGTATGCAGGCGAATATGTTTATGTATGTATATCTATATATATATGTTATAGTGAGTATGCATGCGTGTATGTTAATGTATGCGTATCTGTATATATATGTTATAGTGAGTATGCATGCGAGTATGTTATGTATGTATATCTATATATATGTTATAGTGAGTATGTTTATGCATGCGTATCTATATATATGTTATAGTGAGTATGCGTGTGAGTATGTTTATGTATGCGTATCTATATATATGTTTTAGTGAGTATGTTTATGTATGCGTATCTATATATATGTTTTAGTGAGTATGTTTATGTATGCGTATCTATATGTATGTTATAGTGAGTATGCATGCGAGTATGTTTATGCATGCGTATCTATATATATGTTATAGTGAGTATGCGTGTGAGTATGTTTATGTATGCGTATCTATATATATATTATAGTGAGTATGCAGGCGAATATGTTTATGTACGTATATCTATATATATATGTTATAGTGAGTATGTTTATGTATTCGTATCTATATATATGTTATAGTGAGTATGTGTGTGAGTATGTTTATGTATGCGTATCTATATATATATTATAGTGAGAATGCAGGCGAGTATGTTTATGTATGTATATCTATATAGATGTTATAGTGAGTATGCATGCGAGTATGTTGATGCATGTATATCTATATATATGTTAAAGTGAGTATGCATGCGAGTATGTTTATAAATGTATATCTATGTATATGTTATAGTGAGTATGCAGGCGAGTATTGTTATGTATGCGTATCTATATATATGTTATAGAGAGTATGTTTATGTATGCGTATCTATATATATATTATAGAGAGTATGCAGGCGAATATGTTTATGTATGTATATCTATATATATATGTTATAGTGAGTATGCATCCGTGTATGTTAATGTCTGCGTATCTGTATATATATGTTATAGTGAGTAAGCATGCGAGTATGTTTATGTATGTATATCTATATAGATGTTATAGTGAGTATGCATGCGAGTATGTTATGTATGTATATCTATATATATGTTATAGTGAGTATGTTTATGTATGTATATCTATATATATGTTATAGTGAGCATGCATGCGAGTATGTTGATGCATGTATATCTATATATATGTTAAAGTGAGTATGCATGCGAGTATGTTAATGTATGTATATCTATGTATATGTTATAGTGAGTATGCATGTGAGTATGTTTATGTATGTATATCTATATATATGTTAAAGTGAGTATGCATGCGAGTATGTTTATGTATGTATATCTATGTATATGTTATAGTGAGTATGCAGGCGAGTATGTTTATGTATGTATATCTATATATATGTTATAGTGAGTATGTTTATGTATGTATATCTATGTATATGTTATAGTCAGTATGCAGGCGAGTATGTTTATGTATGTATATCAATATATATGTTATAGTGAGTATGTTTATGTATGCGTATCTATATATATGTTATAGTGAGTATGCAGGCGAGTATTGTTATGTATGCGTATCTATATATATGTTATAGTGAGTATGCAGGCGAGTATAAAAATGTGTTTGTACATGTACATGACATAGTCAATACATAAGCATAGTATAGTGTGCTTACAGGTGTGTCTGAATATATCAGTTACAAAGTGCTTATACATTCATTTTGTGACATATATCAGGTACCATAGTATGCATAAAAGTGTCGCCGTGCATATACAAGCTTAGGTTTGTATACAGATGTTTCTGTATAATTATATAGTCGACTACATTTATGTAATTATCTAGTATTCCGAAAATATTATTTAAATTTCAGCTAACTGTCATATAACCCGCCATTCATATGTCATACATGTTTCCTTTTGTTGTTTTAGAGACTGAAGACAATATCGACCCCTGTATATGATAGGTCACAGCACGCCTCCAGCACCAATGGCGAGTTTACACAAAAACGCAATTTGATAGGTTTGATGGACATTAACATTTGATCTTATTCTGTGTATTTCGTAACAGACAAACACAGCGAGGACTTCTAGTACAAAAAAAAATGTCTGCCTTATTCATCTTGATATTAAGTTATATTAGCAAAATGAAAATATAGTAAATACTGCCTCATTTCGAGCCCTGTCTCTCAGAAAGCAAGAACTGACAAGACCCCTAACAATTAGTCTTCAATAAATGTTTTGTCTCCATATACCAGGCATTTGTATTATCAATTAAACGGTGGGGATGTCAATGCTTTCGATGTTTTGTCCAGGGACAAGGTGTCCTCATCCCCTTTTCATAAACCATGATTCTGTCTTTATACGTTTAGAGATTGCAACTATTTTTGTAGTTTCTGTTGATCGGTTACAAAATAAAAAAAATAAAAATCTTGAAGAGTAACAGGCCAATCGGACAACTTGATTATCCAGCATCAACCATAATCAAATACAGCTTAATATTTACCAAAAGTAATACTCAAACGTCATATCACTACATATGTACTTATTACCGTTATAACGTTGTAGATAAAATATCTCAATATCCAAACAATGGAAGTGTGTAGCCGGTTACGTGGCTAACATAGCCCTGTTATTTGCATATTGTATATGGAACACTTACTCTTAATAGCAAGATGTGGCAGATTTATTGGTCTGGGACTTTCTAAATACAGATTTATTCAAGAGACTTTTTAAACGATAATTTTGTATATGTGTAATGAGGGCCCCGTATCGGAGATACGGGTGACCTATAGTTATCACTCTGTCTGTCCGTCCACAAATTTTGTTCCTGGCTGATAACTGTGAGTTTATCGACCGAATTACATGAAACTTGGTCATGATGTTCAGTTCACAAAAAAAAACACTGATGTAAAAAGTCAAGATCTAAGGTCATTAGGTTCAAAGGTCCAGTTCAAATTTTGAATCTTTTCACAGATGAACATTTTGTTATGACATGATGAAGCAAAATTGATCAGAATTAAACAAGGAGTTAACTGACCAAAGGTTAAGGTTATTTGGTTAAGGTCATCTGGTCAAGGTCAATTTTGTTTGTTTGTTTGTTTGATTTTGTTTAACGTCCTATTAACAGCTAAGGTCATTTAAGGACGGCCTCCCCTTTGTGCAAGATGCATGCGTGTAGTGTATGTGTGTTTTTTGGGAGGCTGCGATATGTTCGTGTTTGTCTCCTTGTGATAGCGCAGAACTGATGCCGGCTTTATAGTGCTACCTCACTGAAACATACTGCCGAAGACACCCAGCAGGACGCCCCACCCGGTCACATTATACTGACAACGGGTGAACCAGTCGTCCCACTCCTTATTTGCTGAGCGTTAAGCAGTAGTATAAACTACCATTTTTAAAGACTTTGGTATGTCTCGGCCCGGGGACAGAACCCAAAGCCTTCCTCACAGGGGCGAACGCTCAACAAATGGCCAAAAGTGAGGCATTGTCAAGGGAGACATTAGGAAGAAAGTCAAGGTCAAATGTTGTAGCTTTCACTAATGAGCATTTTATCACATTATGAAGCAAAGTTGGTCGGAACTAAACAAAGAGACACACTGAGGTAAAAAGTCGACGTCAAAGGTCAAGGTCATTACGTTCAAAGGTCAACGTCAAATTTTGCATCTTTTCACTGATGGACATTTTGTTATGACATTATGAAGCAAAGTTGGTTGGAACTAAACAAGGAGTTAATTGACTAAAGGTCAAGGTCACTGGGTCAAAGGTCAATGTCAAATTTGTATATTTTCACAGGTGAGCATTTCGTTATGACACTTTGAAGCAATGTTACTCAGAATTAACCAAGGAGTTAATTGACTAAGTACAGAAAAATATTTAACTGAGCCTGTTTAATCTACATACATTCATATAGATTGGTATTGTTAGGAAATATTTGGTGATGAGCAAGGAGATGCACTCAAGTCCTTGTATTCCAAAACACAAACAAGAGGCCCAGGGGTCTTAATAGCTCACCTGGTATTTTATTTTTCAATTTAAAACCTGCTGAGTACCATTCAGGTTTATCAAAGGAGTGCAAAAGAAACATCTTCCATTTATAAATATTCAATTCCCTTTGCCCAAAGATTCTCTAGAACAAATTTGGTTAGGTTAAAATCCCTTCAACGGTACAGAAGGAGAAGGATCTTTAATGTTTTCTTCTATTTCCCCTAATGGGCCCCACTCATCTGCCCCCAAAGAAGGGGGTCCACACACCTCAGTTTAAACAAAATTGATTCTTTTGTCCCTAAGCATGCTTCAGACTGCATTTGGTTTAAATCCCTTCACTTGTATAGTAGGAGAAAAAAATTCCTCTATTTCCCCTATTGGGCCCCGCTTGAGGCTCCTTTGTCCAAAGATACTCTAGAACAAATTTGATCAAAATCCCTCTATTGATTGAGAAGAAGAGTTACCTATTTATAGTTTTGGGGTGGGTATCTCAACTGTTTCAAAGTTATTACCCTGGGGTTAAGTCTGCAAGGGTGGGGCAGACCCTGGGGTCGATTCTAATATCATGACTGCATCGTCTCTTTATGCCCAACAATTGTGTATATAGTTTTGCGTTGGGGATCTTAACCATTTCGAAGTTATGACCCAGGGGTTAAGTCTCCAGGGGTTAAGTCTCCAAGGTCGGGCAATATGGTTATAGGGTTGGGATCACAAGTGTTTCCAAGCTGTGACTAAGAAAACAGGTCCCTAGGGGTTCGGTCAGACCCCAGGGTCTATTCCAATATCATGACTGCATTTGTCTCTTTATGCCCAGCATTTGTATATATAGTTTTGGGGAGGGGATCTCAACCGTTTCAAAGTTATGACCCAGGGACTTTGTCTCCAAGGGTGGGGCCAGACCCAAAAGCTATCATGGAAGCAAATGTGCATTCTTCTCTTTATACTCAGCAATTGTATATATGGTTATACGGTGGGGATCTCAGCCATTTCCAAGTAATCAACTTCTTTTGACCCCACCCCTTAGCCNGGGGGGGGGGAGAGCCCCACCATTTGTACAATTTTGAATCCCTGCCTTCCATGAATGCTTCCAACCAAGTATTATCAATATCCATGGCATAGTTCTACAGAAGAAGTCTTTTATAACAATATAGCCAAATTGACCCCTTTAGGCCCTGCCCCTCAGCCCAACCATTTGTACAATTTTGAATCCCCACCACCTAGGGATGCTTCCAGTCAAATATTGTGGATATCCAACACTTTGTACCACAGAAGAAGTCGCTTAAAGCAACATAGCCAAATAATCCTTTTTGGCCCCGCCCCTGAGGGGTCAGCCTCACCATTTGTACAATTTTGAATCCCTGCCTCCCATGAATGCTTTTGATCAAATATGATTGATATCCAGTGCATAGTTCTACAGAAGAAGTCGTTTGTAGCAATATAGCCAAATTGCCCCCAATTGGTCCCGCCCCTTAGCCTAACCATTTGTACAATTTTGAATCCCCACCACCTAGGGATGGTACCAGTCAAATATTGTTGATATCCATCATTTGGTTCCAGAGAAGAAGTCGCTTAAAGCAATAAAGCCAAATTGCCCCCCTTTTGGCCCAGCCTCTCAGCTCCTGCGGGGGGTCAGCCCAACTTTTTGTACAATTTTGAATCCCTACCACCAAGTGATGCTTCCAGTCAAATTTCGTTAAATTCCAATCAGTGGTTAAGAAGTAGTCGTTTAAAGAAATTGTTGACATATGGACAGACGACAGGTATGGCTCAACGTGAGCTAAAAATGGAGGGCACTGGCAAACACCATACCAAACAGTCAGATTCCTTCTATAGGAGCATATGCAAGGATCGTATGTGCCTTTTGTAACGCTTTCTGACCACCTTACCCACTGATGACATCACCGCTGAGGAAGATATCTTTGTCAAAGGCCCCAAACTCACTAAAAACCAAAACTGATCTCAATAGATGGGCCAAGAAAAGAGTGATCTGGAAATCCCTTGATGACACTGAATCTCCAAAACTGTCAGAGGAGGAACTGTTAGACCTCACAAGGGGAGTGTACCGAAGAAAAGGAGGCCAAGTCCTACACTGCTGAACACCTGTCCGAGTATGGTCAGTATGAGCCGATGTTTCAGAGAAGAGCCTGGAATTATAAAGATTCGGATACGAGCTCGTCACACCTCGTCACACCTCCTCAAACATGTGTGAACAGTCCGATCGACAGGAGACTGTTACAAACTAGACTCAGCTATATTGTGACAATTTCCTGATCATGTACATCTATCTTAATATATAGATAAGAATCAACACATAAAACCTATCAATAGATGTTGAAACATATTTTTATTTTTGACTACAATATCATCATTTTGTTTCACAATTCAATAGAGCCTTCCATACAATTTCCTGTATACTATTTTACCAACACAAACTATGTACAGTAAAACAAAGTGGCATGTATTATTTGGCAACATTAAAAACATGATCAAAAATAGAAAGACCTGAAACCAAGGTCACAAAAGTGAAGAAATAGTCGACAGAACTTCAGTGAACATGGACTTTGTTAAGTCTGTCTTGTAAACTTAAACCTACTACATACATCAAGAAATTATATCAATGTAGGTGTTTTACATGATTAAGCTCTGTGAGTAACGTAAAGTGTACAGCGCGTGTGTTAGTCTGGAAGTTTTACAGAAAAGTCTTCCAAATTAAATCAATACAAATTTCCGTTTTTCAAACTTTCCTTTTGAGTGTGTCTATTCAAGTGTTTCCACTTTGCTGGGGCGATGTGCATGACAATAGCGTCTAACACTAGGCAACTAAAGATTCTTCCGTGAAATTCGCAGGTGCAAAGACCAACATCCTTATCCAGTAGAAGGCCTATTATTTCATTCAAATCACATTTAACTTCAGAAATTTGGAAGAATTATATGTATAAACTCTAGAAAATACTAAACAATGAATATCTGTCTGAAGTTATTTACTGAAAAGGTCAACCAATAGATCGTGTTAATGTAATCCAAGAAGCCCTATCATAACAATTTTCATTATCTATAATACATACCGATAAGAAGAGAATTCTTTTCTCTTCAAATAAAGTGTAAAAGCACTATACATGTATTTTAAAATTATCAAAATAAAACAAACTGGTTCTTAAAAAGCGTTCTTACTGCTGTAGAATATCAAGTATAAAAGAGTTCATTCCCTGGCATTGGACATGAGATAGACTTGCTACCCAGGTATAAAAACAGGTATCGGATGTACACCGAAAGCAGTACACAAAGTGATAATTAATACGTAATTTATAATTATTTGACATATCTCCAGTCAAAAAACAGGTTTTGATACAAATATATATACAATTGGAGGATTATTCTATTCATCAATGTATTTTTTACCTCCAACTGTTTCCTGTTATTTGTGTTTTTAGCATGCATATTCCATTCAGCTGCACAATGAATCAAATCAAAACCATTCGTATTTTCAAATATATTGCACACGTTTAAAAAAATGCATACTATTATCAATCATCCCCTTAAAGAAAACAAGATGTGAGCAAAATACCTACAAACGTTGAATTTTTTCCGTCTTTCAATTACTAAATGAGATATTTGAGCTTCATATTGGACAACAAATTAGATTTTTTCTTTTTTAAAGTTGGACTTAAATGCATCATTGACATCATCAGACATGGTATGGAAGTACACTATACTTGCACTGTCCTCTAAACAATAATCTCTTAAAAAATAAAATTAAACTTGAACCACTTACCTATACCTTTCTTGGATATAGGGTGGTACCCTAGACTATTTACAATTTTGAGTAAGCTTCGTCACTCTCGGATTCGCTCACTTGCCATCCAGTGGTCAAGTAAATGTATATAAATCTACAAACACGTCTTCAGTACGTAGTTCAATAAGTGAATTCTTAAAAATTAAATTATACAATATATCATTATCAAAACTCCCATTAAAATTTTAGTTTATATCACAGTCATTGTGCATCTTGCACCACACTAGTTTAAAGGGATTGTGTGTGTAAATATATATATAGTCAGTCATCAAAATGTACAGGTCAGATATGTACAAAATTTCATTTTTACATATATACATCTACAAATTATAACAACCACAAAATAATGGTCAATAAAAGAGATCAAAATAGGAGAACATACCACAATAAAACAAATATACTGATCATGCAAATCAGAAAAAAACCTTGATACCTCCTAAAGTTGGACAAATCCTTACACTTAAGGACAGATTGAACGATCCTCCAAGTTAAGGACCGGAGCATTGTCGGAAAGGATCATGGTCGACATCAATATGACCAAGGGAAGATGTAATTTCATCAGAAAAATAATTGTTAGAAGAAAATTTCATTGAATTTAAACAAAAGAATACCGTCCCCACTATAAACAAAATCAGATCTATAGCAGGTCTGCTTAACACTGATGCGATTTACAATTTTGATCAAATTGGAGTACTACTTTTGTGAGTACTTCACCAAATTCTTCCTCCAGATTGGCATCTAATATCTGGAGGAAAAATAGAGATATTCTAATAGTTTAAAGTGTTCTGTCACTATTTCTGTCCTCGACACAATTCCTTCTCAGAAATATCAGGAATGAGAGACTGTGAATTGACAATTCGAACAGAAAAGGAGATTACAGAACAGCAATATTCACCAGAAGACAAAGCAACATCTGCTTGTGTCCAATTTGTGATCATCACAGCACTTTCTCCTTCCCCAATAGGCATTTTTCTGTCAGTCTGCGGCGGTAGGTCACTGGGCGTTCTCCCGTCAATCTACTACGGTAGGTCACTGGGCGTTCTCCGGTCAGTCTACTGCGGTAGGTCACTGGGCAATCTCCTGTCAGTCTACTGCGGTAGGTCACTGGGCGTTCTCCGGTCAGTCTACTGCAGTAGGTCACTGGGCGTTCTCCTGTCAGTCTACTGCAGTAGATCACTGGGCATTTTCCTGTCGGTCACTGTTGAGGTTCTGAAGACGTCGCATTAACGAGATACCCTGATACATCTGTTTGGCTGGACTAGGTCCTTCATTGTCTTTATCAACATTAAGAATTCTCTTGCCGAGGAAAGATGTATTCTTCTCTTTCATCTTTATCATTCTGTTTATTGCACGCAAGTCCTGTGGAAATAATGAAGACAGTCAAAATTTTGAATTTCAATACATATTGCCCTTTGCCTACATCGACTAAAAAAGTAAGATTTAAATGGACATTTAAACAAAATCAAAACCACTTTTTGAAGGACAACATAAGAAATGTAGTGGAATTTATGAGCTCCACGGTGATATTCAACTGATTGTACCAACATGTAGGTTTTGAGAGCATCAACCAATCAGAATCAAAGACAGAATTAAGGAAAATCTGCAACAACATGACATTACGCAGATTCCATCCACCGTCAAATTTGGCATGACCCTTGATATTATACAACAACTATACCCAATCTGGAGATATCCCATATGTATGCCTACATTAAAGCATAATACAGTTATTTAAGAATTTACTAGTTCTTGGTGAACCAATCATAACTGAATGCTTAACTGAATAACAAGAGTACCGCGGGGCGGAACAATATACGCCCGTCGAATGCCATATAGTGTTATATACTTTCTTACATTGAAATAAGATCTGCATCATTCAAAGAGTGGTTAGCTGACATGCTATAAAAATGTAGGAGAAAAACTCTGGTTAAAAAAATCAAATACTGAAATGAACAAAGGGCAATTACTTTTGCAAAAATTGTTGAATTAAAATTCTTTTCAAGGAAACACAACAAAATATCATGATTATTTAGCCTACTAAGTTTCAAAGAAATCTGTCAAAAAAATGTAGGAGATCTCCTGACAAAAATCAAATACTGAAATGAACAAAGAGTAATAAAATTGTTGAATCAAAATTCTTTTAAAGGAGACACAACTTCATATCATGATTATTTAGCTTACTAAGTTTCAAAGAGATTCGTTGAAAAGGAGATTGCCGGACAAACAAAAGTGTACGCCGGCTGGCCGGACAACGGTATACCATAATACTCCCCTCAAATTTGACGGGCGTATAAAAACCAGAGAGCCGATACCATTTACCAATACGCGGTAGTGAAGCGGACGTAAAACCTATCAATCAATCAATCAATACCATTTACCTGGGTATTTCAGCAAAAAAATAAACTCATTGGAATGCAAAATGTATTTGAATGAAAAGTAGTGACCTTGAAAAAAGGATACTTTTACAGTGTTACTTTTTGTTTACAAAACTTGTATTGTATTCCTGTAGTATCATAATTCTAGGCTATCAACTTTATTCAAATTCAAATGTTCCAAAACTACATATTTACACAACAGTTCTAAATGAGTAGGGATGGACAAACATGCCACAGTATAAGCTCACTTCAACTTTCTGAAATATAAATATGCTGATGCAGGACCCTACAAACCTTTGCTGGACTCCTCTGAAAGCAGTATAACATCCTCTCACTGGGCAAACTGTTGGTGAGTTTGTGGGGGGATATATACACACAGTGGTTACCAGACACCCGTCGTGGAGATGAAGGGTGGACCTTGGACATCGGCAGAGGTGACAGTGGTGGACAGTCCTGTCACAAAGACAAATCATCACTTCAGACTTAAACAAGAATATCTCTATTTATCACACAATGTACTGTGTTATCCAGTGAATATTAACCCATGTAATATGACCTATCAGACCTGTGATTGGTTGCAAGTTTCAATTGTTTCAATTGTGATGCCACGGCTAGGACAAGTACATGACGTCACAGACTTATGCACTGGATTCAAAATGGTGTCTTTTTACATTTCACGGTTGCATGAAAATTGTCGTTTAACTTGAATAAATGCCACAAATCTTGAATACGAGATGAAAACGATTTTACACTCGTTTTCATTTCATATGAAATTTATGAAACTTGTTACAAATTTTTCATTTTAGCTCGCCAGAGGATCACTAAATTGAAGAACTCTTTTATAAATCTCATATGAAATGGAAACTCGTGCAAGATCCCATATACAAAAGCTTAATTGAAGTATCAGCTTGTTCTTGATCTGCCAAATCCTTAAACAGATTCTGTTATCATTTAACTAATTTTAGATATATGTTGATTCAGAAACTAGAATATCGCTCCTTTGACAAACCTCAGAATGACTTTGTGAAGAAAACTTCATGGCAAATTTCTTCATGCTTCCCACATAAACCTGAAATATAATACAAAATGTTTAACACAAAATTTCCAAAATCATAACAAAGCAGAGGCCTTTTTACACCATCAACAGATGTCAAAATATATATTACTATTGTTCCAAGTCATATGCCACCATTATCAGGGGAAGTAAATAGAAATACAAAACATAGACTGACGGTGTGGTTTGTCATGTTTTTTTGTACCAGCCTTTTCCAACCCTTATTACTTGTGAATAGGCTGTGGAAATGACTTATTTAACTTACTGTGATAATCAGCGTCTTTCAGAAAGTTTGTATTTAATATATGCGCGCGATAAGCGCTCAGTGATTTTACATAAATTTTGTGAAGCAGCCCAGCTTTAGGCATACCAAGTGTACAGACATCAATAAATCTAATTCCGTGGGCTTGCCAATAATATTTTGAATATTCAAAACTACGGATTCGTGTTATTCAATACAAGTGTAAAACTAAGTTTTAATATTAGTACTCCAATGTTTTAACTGATAAGGAAAAACTGATCATTACTAATATTGTATGTTGTTGTGCTACGTGCAATAATAAAGAATTGAACTTGATTTCTCTTCATTTATCATCATTTCATTCTAAATCGTTCAGTTTTACATGTGATTTACTTCCAAGCTATTATTGGTCAACCATCTTGAATGGACAGTTCCCATATATATCTATTTTATTTACAATATGACACGTAACAGTTATGTACCATATATATTTATAAAACAAACTACTACTAGTTACGAGTTGGTAAGCCGTGATATCCGAAACTAAAATGGCAGACGAAGATGTCCAGTCTGGGCCTACGACCGATAAAACTTAGATTCATTTTCGGTAATAAGCTCACCCCATACTTGTGACAAGTATCATGCACAGGCCCCTGGGCAATCATTTTAATCTTCTTTCTCTAGACAGCAAAAGGCAATATTCTTTTTTAAATGTCTTCATGGGCTGTTTGGATGTTGAATTTAGTAAATACTTTAAGGAATCATTCCTCTCAATCTCCCTTACTTTGGATGTTGTAGTAAATACTTTAAGAAATCATTCCTCTCAATCTCCCTTACTTTGCTCTATTGTTGTTTCCTTCATGTGTTGGCTAACAACTTACCATGTTGTAGAACATGATGAGATCTCCTCGCTCCTCCCCTAAGTCAAAGCCTGGCCCTGTCGAGAGTAAGCGTGTAGGTGTGGGAGGGTGGCTACTTGGGTGAGGTACAGGCAAGGTACTTGATGACCGTATTTCGCCAGATTTTCCTGTGACAAATATTCACAAAGAAGAATAGTTAAAACTTTCATCACTCCATGCAGAACATCTTGATTTTCTATTAGTGGTGACTAGAGCTTTTTGTAGTGTGTTTAGATGACCCCTTAAAAGTCTTGTGGGATACCTGCCATTTTGTAGAGCACAACTAGCAACAAATATTCAAGCATTTATTCTGTAGGAACATTTTTACTGGCAGCAACAAATTACTCATAGCTAACATGTATTGATCCGCTGGACATTTTTTGCATGTGTATGTGCTAATTCATATACAGTCGAACCTCGTTATCTCGAACTCTTTTAACTCGAAGACCCCGTTTATCTCGAAGTATCTTTCCGGTCCCGGCCAAATCTGTTCTTTATCTTACTAAATAAAACTCTGATAATTCGAACCATGAAAAGTCGAAAAACTCGGCTACCTCGAAGTAAAATATTGGTTTCAATAGCGTCAATCCAACGTGGTATCCAAATTTCATTTTGTCACTTGTTAATTCTGTGATACATATAAAACGCAAAAGTACGACATTTCGCCATTCCGTGTTTATGAACATCTTTCGTAAGTAGACTAGAATGAAATCAGTAAAAAAGAATTTACGATAAAGCTTAGAACTGTAAAGTTTACGGACTGTCAAAACCATGTTATTCATAAATAAAAACAAAATGCATCAATGTTGATCAACAGTAATCTGTACTTCCTGCGAGTCCGTTTAATGATTTGTACACCTAAACAGACGACAGTGCAAACCGGAAAATTGGTCACAAAGCGTGGTCATGCATAAAAGAGTTCCACAGTTAAAATCACAACCTAGGACAGCTTTATGGGTTCATTTTTTTAACAGGAGCCAGTATGGCTTTGAAAGTCGATCGATAGATTTAAGAACAAAACGATAATTGCTGTTGATTGCATCGAGTTGAGGAGTTGTCAGGGGTCATATTTGGCTTTAATGAATCAATGTGTCACATGTACGATATAATTTGTTTGTGTGTTTTCATTTACAGAATCAACTATGCGTACGCTCCATTACAGTGATTTGTGTTAGACTTGCGCACTTTCATTTCCGCATTGTAAACTACGAGATCAGAGACAGCGGGATAGTTCGGTTTGAAATGTAACACTTCATAAGTAAAACTTGAGGGACTTATAAATACAAATGCAGACCTGGAAAGATTTGCCAAGATCTATACTAGCAAAAAACAACATTTAATCACTAGGCCCGTCCATATTTAATAACGAATCCACAAAATGGTCCAACCATATTGATCGCGTTTAAAAACGAAAGTACGTTTTTCTGAAATAACTTTATCTATTTTTGTAAGCGTGTTTCTTGTAAAATTACATAGCTGTATTTGTTATATTGATTACGTATATCATTTATCGATTGATTAAAAGCATTAACTATTAATAAAACCAACAACTGCTAGTGATAAGTCCCAACAGCAAATTTCATACCAAATCTATGAACCCGCATAACTCGAATACTCGGATAACTCTAAGTTTTCCCACGACCCCGTCGACTTCGAGATAACGAGGTTCGACTGTACATAGTTTATTAAGATGAAGAAGGAAGAGATGTAAATACATAATGGTAGAGATATTTAGGTTACCAAGAAAAGGTCTTGGCCATCAGACTAATGCTAGTGTAAAAATACTGCTGATAGATAAAAGTTCAATATGCAATTCATATGATATAACTCAGTTCAATCTTCTAGCTGATTATTTTCACACAAAAAAAGGAATGATACATGAATGATTATTCTTTAACATTTAATCTTTTTCAAATGATGTACAGTAAATATCTTTACTTTTTGTGGTCACTTCTTCCTTGATTTCTGGAACTGGTGAGGACGAGCCGCTGGTTCCATTTTTACTGCTATCACTGCTGCCCGAGGTTCGTCTCCGTCTCCCACTGATCAGCACACTGCGATACACCTGTTAGTAAACAACCATATACAAGTCACAAACAAGTAGTACAAAAAGACAGACTGACAAGAAAAACAGAAAAAGTCAGATCCAGTAAGACTGATACAAAGAAATAATAAAAGAACAATATGTCCCAACCCTCTTCCCCCTTAGAAAGAACAGCTTCCTGTTTCGTTGCGTGTACAGAGAAACGAGACCACCTAGTACCTAGCCTGAAATTCACACACTGTCTACCAGTCAAATTCTGTCTTTAGTACAAACCTCTTGCATACCTTTTCCAGGTCCCTAGTCAAAATATGTACTCCAGAGAATTTACTACCATATGTTCCTACAAGACTAATCACATATACATGTTTTCAAAATACATGTCACGTACAGAAAGCGACAAACTGATCTCAACCTGTTTGTAGACATGACGATCATTAGCTGTTTTACAGAAATATTTGAAATCCTTGAAAATCTGTCCTTAATACTCCATGAAGAACTGCTGATGTTTCATTATGTATTTCTACACTGTGTATTACTTGGAATATTTTTGCTTTACTTTATTATTTATAGATCTTTTGGTTTTAGATCTATGCTTTACTTTATTATTTATAGATCTTTTGGTTTTAGATCTATGCTAGAGGAATTCAATTTCAATACCTGTGATATTATGCCAGGTATTATAATATGATATGGAGCACCAATATTGTTCAAGGGGAGGTAAATGTTACATCTAAAGTAATTTTTTAACAGATCAAGTGGAATATTTAAGTATTATTGCCAGGAATCTATCTCTGATTTGTCCTATGCTGCAAGGATATATATCAAAATAAAATATCCTGAGTGAAGTGCTCAAAGAATATTTTATAAATTAACAAGAGTCCCATGGGCCTAAACGGTCACCTGAGTCCTACAGTATTTATTTTTGTTGTTGAAATATGTACCAATTTGAGTACAAAATAGTTAAGTATAACGTTAACTTAAGTTTGTCAGGACCATGAGCTGATCATTCCTAGACTGAGTTTCAGTTAAATTGGCCTATTAGAACTTGTTTTAAGTTTGAAATAGTTTTTTCAAAATGGCGGCTGCAGCGGCCATATTGAAATTCTGATCGACCCAAAAAATAACAACACTTTGTCAGGACCATGAGCCGAACATTCCTACAAAGTTTCAGTTCAATTGGCCCAGCAAAACTTGACTTAAAGTTTGAAATAGTTTTTCAAAATGGCGGCCGTGGTGCCCATATTGGATTTCTGGTCGACCCGAAAATTACAACACTTTGTCAGCACCATGAGTCGATCATTCCTACAAAGTTTCAGTTCAATCGGCCCAGCAAAACTTGACTTAAAGTTTGAAATAGTTTTTCAAAATGGCGGCCGTGGCGGCCATATTGGATTTCTGATCGACCCAAAAAATAAAGCTCAGGTGACCTAAAAAGGTGCTTCACAAAATTTGTATCATTATTACTTACATGACTTTGTGCCTGGGGTTGAAGTCTATAGCACTTCATGATATTTTGGAAAGACTGAGGGTGATCGGTCACCTGCAAAGAAAAGACAAGTAAATATTTAACAATTTCTCTCCACACAATTTGAAACTTTCTTAAACCTGCATTTATAGACCAAACAGTTTTGTACTTTGCATCATTTTATCCTGCATTACAACATTTTGTAGATCACAGCTCAACAGATAACAATACAATGAAGCAGAGCTTAGAGACACCCGACATTAATGCTGCCCTTTACTTTCTGACGGGAAGACTAATCTTTAGACTGGTTTCACAAATACAATTTTATATCATGCTGTTTAATAGCTTACAAGTAAATTTGATCAAGGTTAAATCTTACCTCTTCAATGTAACATGAAATTATTAAACAAATGGACCTAAGGTAAGTTTCACCTCTCTTCAATAAGGTATCAAGTAAATGGGATCAAAGTTTTGAATTGCAGCTCGAGGCAGACCATATAACTGATGTGTGTCGCCTCACCTTGGCCATCACATATATTGCACACATGATCATCTGGTCGATGTGTCGGTCCATCATTAAATCTGTATGGTGGACAAGCGTGTGCTCAAAACAGGTCCACATCTTCTGTCGGAGATCTTCGTCGTCTACTTGTAGGCGATCACATAGATCTCTCAGCCTCACACTGGCCAAGTGGTACATCTACAAATTAATTTTTGCAAATTTTAAACCAACATTACATTTTAACATAGTAAATTAAGCAGATCTTTGCAAGAAAATTATCACAAATCACTTAATCAACATCACCTAATCGAAAGAATTTATGAAACAGTTCCCATGCTCAATCATAAATTTTGTGTTCAAGCCTAATTTTTTGTTCTGGCTATAAATGAATAATAAAATCTTAGATTGTCAACGATTTGGAAAACATTTTAAGCAACTTATAGCCAAATACTGTTTTCAATGTTAACATTCGACTTTTTGATCGTTTGACATGATTAATTGAGTAACAAGAAAATTGGTTTGAGCAACAGAATCCATGCTCGAGCATAAGAAAGGGTTTCATGAATATGGGCCCTGATTTCTTATGGTTAACTCAATCACAAAAATAATACAATGCATATGGTTCTAAAAAGCATTACCAACCTTTCTAAAGAAGAGTGCAAGAGAGCCAGTTTTCTTGGGTTTGTTTGCCGGCTGTGAGGAGGAGATGGAGGTGGTGGTGGTGGTGGTGGTAGTTGTAGTACCGGCATTAGATTGTTTCTGGGACAAGATTGTATGTACTGGTATCAGCACCTGCAAAAGACAAGGTCCTCGTCACTATGATTTTAGTACTGTTTCTAGACACATAACAATCTGATACAATCGAGGATATTATCTAAATAAGGTCCGGTCTTCACATTTCAAAAATATCCCACAAATCTGTTAAGTTATTTTTCAATTTTGCTTCAATAAATTCAAAAATACTATTTTAACATAAAATAAGCAGCTATCGACAATAAGAGATTGTTATATACAACGAATATTGATGAATCAATACAAGCCCCCTACCGGCGCCCCCAACAGACTTAACAACATTAATGCTAGACCCCTATAGATCCTCTATGTAAAGAATCGTCATCCTAACATCATCATTAAGAGAATGGTAAGCCATTACAAAACTTTTAACAAAAACCTTTACCAAAGGTTACGTACAGACGCAGACAAAACCGATAGTCCCCCCGATTTCACCGGTAGGGGACCAATAAACCATAAATGATAACAAAGGACATGCATATTGCCCTAAAAACACAACACCCTTATTGTAATGTTAGCCTCTAGTACAAGCTAGGAAATATTTGACAATTTGCAGCTTAACTGGGATACTGAATTTAACATGTGGTCAACAGTCCTAACATTGAAATCTTAATTACATGTCGGCCATCCTCAGTCTGTGCTTGCTGGAATGCTATGATCTGTGTAGGCACTGTAGATGAGGTGGAAGTGGTGACGGTTGTGGTGGTCTCTGACTTCTCCCCATCACCTTGGCTGGTGACGGCGTGCTTCGTAATAAAAAGACGCCTCTTGGCACTTCCCGGGGAGGGGGAGCTAAACCGATCACTCGCCATCGTAGTGGCTCCAGGAGGAGAGGGCAGAGATTCTGAAGTACAACAAACCAAAGCTTATAATACAAACTTCTGAATTCACACATGAAGTAAGATTTAGACAATTTTGATACACTTAATTATATCCTGAAGAATCTGTGGAAGAAGTGAATGTAATGCTATACCTCTTATAGTTGTTACCGGTTGTTGCTGCTGCTGCTGCTGCTGTTGTCCACTGCGCCCCTCGTCCACCAGTCTTTTTACAGCCGGATGCACCATTGGAGAGTTGACTTGTACAGATTCCAGCTGGCTTGGTAAAATCACCTTGACAAAAACATAGCATTACAAATTTGTCAGTGTGGTTTTAACTCATCCTATTATTTAAAACAAGAGATCCCAGAGGGATCTTGGCGCCCACCTTTGTGCCATCTTCATTAGTTCTTTGTCAGTTCGATCTTTTCTCTTCTTTCCTCTAATCTGTTTGATCGAGTCATGTTAACAGTAAATGCACCTTGAGGTAACTTTTGATCTAAACTTAATACTGATGTGTATGAAAGCCAACCTTCAAAGTGAGTTTGTCATTTCACATATTTACTAGTACAGTACTTAATGTGAAAGAAATAGAATCGATCATTGCAATATGAGAAAGATCTGTTTAGTTCTTCTTTTAATCCATTTTGTTTTTATGATCAGTCTCAAAATATAACAT